AATATCTACCGGTAAACGATTATGTATACATTAAAAAAACCCAAGATTTATGGATCACATGTTTTGACGCAAATGTGTCACTTATTTTACCTGTATATTAACGTAACCTGTTTCAGGTTTTCAATTTGCAAATTTATTACTGTTTAGTATCCTTAGCGGTATATGGCGGTGGCGGAGTTAGTGGTACAGATTGTTCTGTTTCTTGTCTCCTTTCTCTTCTTTCTCTAGCCACTTCATGTGCCCCTTCATCACCTTCGTTTTCGGATAAATCTTCTGTATTATGACGCCTTTCCCAACTAAATCTTCCAGTTGAGTAAAATTTCTTAATTCGATAACACCGATAACAACCGCAAAGAATTATTAAAAGAATAATAAATGACCCAAGAAGAAATGAAATTAAGCAGTAATTTCCACAATCTCGTTCACCACCACTATAGTACCAAAATACCCACGCGGGTCTATAACCACGTTTTTGTAGATTTACACTGTCATAAGTTTTGACATCACCAGAATTATGATTATGGTTTGTTATGGGTAAAGCAAATGTTTGGGCACAAAAAAGTAGTAACTGCGGAAAAACTGTTATAAGAGAAACCAACATTAGACTGAAGCAAGTTTTTAAGTAGTATATATGTTTTCTGTTTATTATATTATCTAGGATTGTCCTACATAATAATTGAAGAAAAAGGTGAATAAGCCTCAAAGATTATAGATAATTTTGAAGATGGTTCAGCACTCTAACAAAGCAAGATGTGCGTACCATAAAAAATTTCAATGTAAGAACCATTACTAAATACTGTATCAATACAAGATTGTTTACGGTTATTTGCCGGAAGGTAACCATTTTTGACAAATGGAGAAAAACCTTAACTTAAATAAGTTACTGTCGGAGCTTTAATAATCATCACCTGTGATTTTCATAGATATTCTCAATGAAGTGATCTATATACATCCAAAATTGCTTTTTAAAGCTCTATTGAATCATCATTAAGCATTCGTTGATCAGCTGGGTTATACATGGGTGGTTGGAGTATTTCTAATTACAAACATTGTACAGGATAGTGATGATCATTGATCTAATGTAATAGTAAAAACATAAAATCTAAAT